GCAATCCCTTCTCCTCCATTCTCCTCTCGGGATCTTGGGCACGCACGCACACGCGCCCGGAGTGAGTTTTAAGCCACCGGGTCCAGGATGCGAACCGCGGTCAACTAAGTGGGAGTCCAGCGACATAGCCATTATGCTAACTGCTGGTCCCCTATCTGTCTCTCTCTCTCCAGCGAGCACAAGTGCCCTATAGCAAAATAAATAAATAATAAAAGGAATTTTGTGTAAAATCTCTCAATCTTTAAATTATTTAAAAATACAGCTGGCCCAATCTGGCGACATAGTTGAGTGGGCTGAGCTGCAGTGTTATGTGGCCATGTGGCCAGTCCTGGGCACAGATTCCTGGTCGGTCTGGAAGCACACGGGGCATGTGGGTCCTGACAAGCAGGAGGGCTGGGGAAAGGAGAACAGGTGTGGCGAGACCCAGGCTCCTCTGCCTCCCTCCCGCCCTTCCTCTCTTCTCTCTCTTTCTCTTGTGCACATGCTATCATGAATAAAACAAAACTGTAAACTTTAAGAAAATAAGTAAAATAAGGTCAGCAGGTGTGCTGGATCTCACATGGCTGACTCTGCAGATCCAGTCCTGGACCTGCCAGCTTGAAAGACACACCAGGCTGTGTGTGTGTGTGTGTGTGTGTGTGCCCGAAATCCTGGGAGAGGAGAATGGAGGAGATGGTATTGCAGTGTGGCCATCCCCCCCGGGGGCGATTTCTCACTTTCCCTCTCTCTCTGGCGAGTACATGTGCCCTATAGCATTCATTAACTGATTAATTAAAATGAAAGTACAGCAGGACCACTTTCAGCTCTCAGGCTTGCAGCTGTGACTTGCACCAACCATGCCCTGCCTGGCTGTAACATCCTCCCTATTCCCTGAGTCTTCCTTTCCCCAAGCCACAGTATCACAATAGTCACAACCTGCTGCCCGGGATTACCAAAACCGGAGGAAGCACCTGTTCAAAGCGGGTGAAACAGCCCTTGCGGGATCAGCGCTGGGCTCGGCACCGGACGACTCAAGCGCCTGTTGCTTCTATTCCTTCCCCGGTCTGTAAGGGCTGAACAAGGCTCGCAGACCCTCTTCTGACCTTTAGGAAAGTCCAACTTGAATGGCACTGGCCACCGATATGGGCGGGGAGGTAGGATCAGCAAAAATTCGCGACCCAAGAATTCCTGAGCTCCGGGCCCCCAGCACACCCCTATGCCATGCTGTCAGCCTTCTATCTCTTGCTTCCTAGAAAGTGGGGTGCTACATACTTCCCCACTCTCCTTGAGAACTCCTCTTCCCCACCATCCTCCTTAATGTTCCCAGGCCCTCTTCCCTTCTCAGACATTCTCATCCTCCCTCGAGGCTTTAAGCACTGGATGACTGCTAAACCATGATACCTAAGTAGTGCCATCAGCCCAGACCTCTCCCCTAAGCTCTGGACTTGATTACCCAACCCGACCAAACACAGAGTCTCATAAACCCTCACCAGGTCTGCCAATGAATTCATCATTCTCCCGCACCTCCTTCTCCAACACACCACACTTGGATAAATGGCATCTCCCACGCCACCTATAGCCCATGCTGGTCCTTCTCTGCCTCCTCATCGTGACTACACTCATGCATCAGGCTCCCCACTCCCAACTTCTGCTTAGACAACAAGGCAGCGTCTCCCTGCCACCAGCCTTGCCCTCCCTTACCCATCATTCCCTGGGGCACCAGAACCAAATTCCAAAACACAAATCTAGACACTAAGATAAGATCAAAATGTGTGGCCCAGCCACAGTGGTGCAAGCAGGAGTGTGCGGCTGCACAGGCCGGAGCCACGCAGAAAGGCCCAGGTTCAGATCCCACGTGGACCTGACAGGAGCTAGCCAGGCATCCTGGCACGCCTGTTGTCTTGCAGCATGGCAAGACCCTATCAGGTGTACCTGTCCTCCACCCCCCGATAAACTTGTCTAAAAAATGTGAACGCATAATCCAATCGGATGATTAGATCAAGAGGTGGTTTAAGAAAATCAATGCAAAAGCTTAGAAGAAGAGAACAAGGCTTTGTTCCCAAACCCACACACAGACTTTTTGATTTCATATTGAGAAAGCAGGGTGCCTCTTGTACAATAAAATTTTGAAATATATTTGCTATTCATTTAAGACTTTGTCACGAAATGCTGAATAATTTTACCAAGTTGGGGACAGGGTGATAAAGTGCTTATGAGAAAGCATTAACAGTAAAAGACTCACTTCTCCCAGCCAGAAACCCTTGCTGGGGACTGCCTCGGTAGCAGCAGTGGCCAGCAGGCGTGGTCCGCCTCTGATTAGGCTCTGGTGGGCTGCGTTGTGAGCCACACACCAAAGCCGACTAAGCAGAGAAGCACAACAGAAGCTTTACTTTTTATCTTCAAGACAAAGAGGAAAATATAAAAAGGCAATCAGTGACAAACTCCCTCACTCGTCGCCAAAGAAGGGAGAGGCTGTCAGAACCCAGCACTGTTTTCTTCCTCCCCTGGTCTCTAACAGAACAGACCAGCTCACGCCAGCAGTATCACACTACTCCAAGTTCCCCAGGGCACCCTGCCTTTGCTTGCCATGTTCCCTCTTGGAATGCCATTCTACTGTTTACAGGACAGTCACTCATAAAGACAGATGAAACCCCCGCTCCCTCTATGAAGGCTTTCCCTCCCCTTTTCCTTACAGAAATGTCAAAGTTCCTGCAACTCTTCAGTTCACAGACCTGCCTGCCCTAATAACTGCAACTCCCCTGTGCACAAGAACCATGTTCTCCTCTTCATGCTAGTATACTTAGACCTAGTTCGGTGCCTGTTCCAAAAGGAAGTCTAACAGATGCCTACTGAATGAATACAAGAATACTCCTAGCTAACCCACTATACCGAGCTCCTGGCTTTTTTTTTTTTTTTTTTTTTTTAGGTTTTGCCACGATCCCTTTTCTTCCATTCTCCTCCTGAGATTTTGGGCACACACACACACCATGATTTTTAAGCCTCCATGTCCAGCACTCGAAATGCGGTCAGTCATGTGGGAGTCCAGCACCTTAACCACCACGCCACTTCCTGGCCCTCAGCTCCTGGCTTTTAAATAAACTACTATTGATAGAATGAGACTGGTCATGAAACCCTACAATCCAGAACCAAGGGCAGCAGTAGCCCAGGAGTGCTAGAAGTGTGTGGTTCCGTGAACAAAGCCATGTGAGTTGAAGGGCATTCATTAGTGCTTACACGGGTTCAACCGCAGGGCCTGGGCGGGAGGGGAGGACAGCAATGTTCACATGTGGAAAGAACATTAACAAAAATGTAAGTTCAGGCAATTCTCTTTCAATCACGTTGATGGATGAAAACAAAGGCATCACAGAAAATGCGAACCAGTGGAAAATCCAAAGATAACATTATTAAGCCTTAAGACAGCCTTTGGAGCAAATTTGTCATCCAGATTCCATCCGGCTCAAGCTACACACACATAATAATGGATGATAGGTATCAAACGCAGGGCTTTATGAAGCTCAGCTGTAATGCAGACACCTGGGCAGGCCAGGAAGTCCCTCTTACCTGGCACAATCCTGGTGTCTGCCTAGATGGCTCTCGTAGCTCTCCTTCCTGATGTTGGTAGAAACCAGGGCTAGAGAGGCCTCGACCCAAGGCTGCTCGGCCATGTTGAAGCTGAAATGGGTACGGGCATGTTTCCCATTTCTCAGCCCTGGGTCCACAGCCCGGAAGGCACTTTGCACAGCCACTTTCTGCCTAAGAGCTATTACTGGCGCTGACTTAGGAACTAGAGTCCTATTACCTAGAAAGGGCAAAGTATGGGAAACTCGGCAAAGATGGAGGAGGCCCAGGAGTGGTGGGGAAGTGGCATCCTTTCCAGAATTCTGGCAAGCATGAACTCCAGTGCATCCAGACTAGGAAACCATGAACAAAAGTATGCTCTGATTCCTGATGAAGAAATGGGGCTGGAGGAAAAGGGTCAGCCCTGGAAAAGGAAAGATCTAGATGTCTTGATCCCAAATTTCTCTCTTCCCTCTTCCCATTCAGCCATTTTCCTTTTCATTGAGTCTTTCCCTGACTCTCCAGTCTCAGAGTACCAACCCACTCCCCTCTACATAGCACTTATCTCATATGGTCCACAAATCATGGCAACTCTTTCACTCTCAAGATCCAATACTTTTCTCCAGCCAGATTACCCCATTCTCTGTGTGTCCCCATTAGCTGGCCTGAGAATCTGGTCCCTAATTCCATTTCTCTTTTTTTTTCTTTCCCTGTCCACCAGCCTATCCTCCCAGGGGATACTTCCTGACCTAACTAGCGCCTGCTGTCACCTACTAAGGACCAGCCACTTAATACTGATCACTCCCCTAACCCCCCCAGGGGCTCATCCCCCGCCCGCCGCCTGGGCTGGGCAGTCCCTATACCTTTAACAAACCTCCACGTGCGTGTTAACGGCGGTGACAGCATTTCCTTGTCTCTCTGCTCCCGCCCCCGGAGGCGCCGCCCATTGGCCGATGGGTTTCTCCATTCTTGTTCTAATTGGTCTCGCTTCAGAAAACTCCAACCAATGACCTCTGCGGGTCTGTCTCCCTCCTCCGATCCTGGGCTCTCATTGGCTCCGAGGACTTAAGAACTGTTTACAGGACAGTCACTCATAAAGACAGATGAAACCACCGCTCCCTCTATGAAGGCTTTCCCTCCCCTTTTCCTTACAGAAATGTCAAAGTTCCTGCAACTCTTCAGTTCCCAGACCTGCCTGCCCTAATAACTGCAACTCCCCTGTGCACAAGAACCATGTTCTCCTCTTCATGCTAGTATACTTAGACCTAGTTCGGTGCCTGTTCCAAAAGGAAGTCTAACAGATGCCTACTGAATGAATACAAGAATACTCCTAGCTAACCCACTATACCGAGCTCCTGGCTTTTTTTTTTTTTTTTTTTTTTCGTCTT